TGTCACGTTCAATATTGTGACTGCATCTATGACAATGCACAATGGTGCATCGCTGATGTCATCTGACCCGAATGGGTTGTTGATGCCATCTGGTCAAATGGTTTCGATTGAAGTATGGTCGAATCCAAACCTGATCCAACAGTGGGACAAACCATCCAGCAGATGAAAAGGGAGTGCGTTTGAGATCGGAAGCGAGACATGGTCAAGCGGGAGGATTGAAGTTTCAGTTGTGTTTTGTGTTTTTAGTTTGTTTGCGTTTCGTTTGCGGTTTCTAGATCTTATCTCAAACAAATGAAAGTCCTTGAAGAACAACTGTATTCCCAAAGGGATCCAAAGTGGCTTGGAAACTTCCAGTTTCACGATTTTGATTCCTTTCTTTTTCCACTGCCAGTCCTTCATTCACACTATTTTGAAGGGGTTATTTTTGGCGTTCAAGAAGTCCTTGTTTCGATAGTTTAATTTGGGTGAAATGATCCATCGATCCAACTGACTTCTGATGTGAAGCTACCACATCTTACTGGCAATGGAAAAACAGCAAAAGGGGATCCGGCGTATTTCGTTTCAGTGGCAGTGCACATGTCCGCAAATCCATTGTTTGAGTTTGCGAGTGTTTTGATGTTTTTGGTTTGGTCACAGTTGTTTCCAGTTTTGTGTTTTTGGTTTGTTTGGTTTTATGTTTATGTATATATATATATGTATATGTTTATTTGGTCAGTTTGTATGTCAGTGAATTGCTCGCTTCCTCAAGCTGTAGCTAATGAATGCTTACTTGTTAGAACTGGTGGTGCCCGAGGCATATGGCATGACCCGACACCTGACCACCCCCATGTCTGACCTGTGTCATCCATACCAAAGGGGGTTGCAATCTCTCTGGTTGATTGAAACGCCTCATCGATCTGGTGGATGAGCCTTGCAATGCCTGGCAGATCGCTGAAATTGACAGGGGGAGCTACAGCTACATCCCATTGCTCACGAGGCGGTGGGTCGGTTCCTGCCTGAAAATACAGTGCATCGTCAGTGGCATCGAAGTATTCGGTTTCATCGCTGGCAGTGGAGGCGTCTCCATGGGTTTTTTCGGCTGAGGGTCTGCTAGTCTGATCAGTGTCGGTGTCCGAATTGTCAGGATCATCTGTTGCTAAGGAGTGAAATCTGTTCCCTACTCGGAGTTGTTGAATCATTGGTGAAAAGGCACAACCCTCGAGCAACCGGTATCCGGCGTCGGGGAGCAGAAAGCTTCACTTGGCAACACAGTGGGTCCTTGGAAGATATCACAACTAATAGGGAATACAATAGCACACCTGGGGCACAGCCGAGCTGCCGGTCTCCGGCGTCGGCTCTCCCTTGAATGCCCAGTTCCGCTTACAAAAAGCTGTGAACCTTACCAAATATATCTTATACCTTGAAAAACGGGTAGCTAGACGGCAATACTAGGCGATGCCCAGTTGAGCCTTTATAGCTGCAGGTGGGTGACGGTGAGAAAAAGTTCACTAACCATCAACATCTTGTGGGGTATAGTTCTGATTGTACATGCTACATCTCGTTCATAAGACAGAGACAACTTTCCATGGTTTTGGCCTAAATAGATTTGTGAAACTTTTCAATATTACAACGATGTGGATTGATTGCTCATGGAATAGTACTGTTTGGTTTGTTTCCTAGAATGTGGCGCCTACATACTACAGACAAGTTTGACTAACCAACAAATTGGAACGCTGTGGAGCTGCGCAGCACGGTCAGTGTTTGCCTGTCAATCGCAAGCAGATCCAAAGGGCAAATGTAGGATGACAATGAGGATGTTGTCTACCTTGAGAGTGCTGCCATGCACCGTCATAATTGGCCATTCTAGTCACACCTCTCCATTGGGATGTCTAGCCTCGCCACTGCGTGAGGCACCAGGCTTGCTTGAGCAGTCTGCATTGTTCTCATCCTTTTGGTGAGGCGCCATGCTCTATTTTGCGCCTCAAACAATTCCTGAGATTTTTGCTGCACTTCCGCCAGTGCTGCAAAATGGCGAGCTGTGAGTTCACCTAAGTCTAGCTGTGTGATGTCGTCTCCTTCTTCCTGCTCCGGGCTACTTTCAATGACTGCAGTGGCAACTGATGCCTCCGGAGATTCAGTTGGAGACAATTCCATTGGAATTTGAAAGGGTGAGGCAGGTGGGTGCAGATTAGCTGACGTTCCCTGCGTGGCCTGGTCAGAAGCGTCGCTTGGTTTAACTGAGGAAAGCTCACCGGTCTCCGGGGTAACCTCTTTTGGATCAGGTGCTGCGGGCGCTGGTGGAGTGGCAGGTCTGACATCCGCCAACGTTTGTGCCTCAATCTTCTTCTAAGGAAATTTGCTGTAAAGTAGGTGTTAACTTTTTGAAAGTAGGTGTTGGGAAACCAGCTTCAAAGAGGCTGCAGCAACACACATCCAAAAGACCTTGCGGTAGATCCCGTCCAACTACTATCCATCTGATTACCTGTTGAAGTTTGGAAGAGCTTGACAAGCATGACATTAAAAAAACACAAGACCCTAAACCAAAGGGCTACCCCGAGCCTGCGGGTGAACCTTTGGATTTTGATTTTGTCATTGTTTAGTGTACCTGTTCAAAGTCGCGTTGAACTTGGATTTTGTGATTTGTGGGTCACAGCGTGTTTGTTTTCCATGGTGTCGTTGTGCAACCCAAAGTATCATAACCATGGTCCAAAAAAGGTCCAGCCTCTAAACTCTAATGTTTCGACAGTTTTCAGAAGAAAAGACATATTTCGGGCATTGCTTAGTACCATATCTGTATGAATAATTTTCTAGCCATGGGCTTTTGTATTGAGTTCCTATTTTGGTTGTGTTTCCTGTCTATCGCGTTAGGCGCTGCGTCTAGGACCTAGGATGTAAAATCTGAATTGCGTAGTATATCATAAACAAACATTATATAAATCGGTTCTAAATTCAACACAGATCATGAAATCGTCATAGAACAACATCAGTCATTAGGTTGCAGAGCTTAGTCCAAAGATGGACATTGAAATCCAAAATCAGTTCCTTGACTCTTTGATTTGACATATGTAAGTATTTTGTATTGTGGTTTGAGGCAGGCCATTACAAGACAAATTTTGTCCGACCCATTTGTTTTTGTTCAGATTCTACATCATGTTCCATATGTTTGGAAGAAGGTCAAAACTTCTATGATAGTTACATAATGATTTGCTTTAAGTTTTGCTTTTGGGAAAACAGCATTCCATCAGAACTCAGCACCCGGCATCATTGCTTCTGCGGAGAAAAGGTGGCTGCGTGCGTTTTGGGAATGATGCTGCTAGCTGAAATAATTTCTCGAGGGTTGACATTTCTGAAATAATTCCTGCAGCAGGCCAAAGTGTGTTTTTTTTGGTCAGATGCTGAGAGCAAGTTTTGAATCCAACATAACATTCCATGTGCTAATTACCATGAAGGGCAGTGGCGTGCTGTGTTTGGTCGCTTTTGAGTTCTGCGGCTTTGGTATAGCTGAGACCAAAAAAATCCTTTCCAGCTTCATGTCGCATTTTACGCGCGACCTCGCCGCCTTCCTTGCCTCCCGAACTTGGAATGAACAGCAGATCGATGACTTTGAGGCATCCCGTGAAGTTTCCAGGAACATAGTGAACTTCATTGGTTGGGACAATTCTACCCAGCCGCTGATCGACTTTTGGGTGGTACTCACCATGGTCAAGGTCATCCAGGATGGCCGCGACGCCTCTGATATTGGCCCTCAGGGCATGGGTAGCAAACCATTTCCTGCGCTTGGAATGGGTCATCTGGTCAATGTGAATTGCTACCAGAAGAAATACATGAAACTGGAAGCAGCCACTGCGGTGAAGCTTTGCCAAATGCTGCATGCCAATGTGGATGCGTTGATGATGTCCAATGAATCGGAGAGAGCCTTGCAGTTGCTGCAAGATGTCCAGGACAGCTTTGAGGCAGCTCTTGCTTTCTTGGAGAAGACCAGTTAGAAGCCTTGGGAGTCGTATGGTTTTTGCAGAACCAGAGGTGTTGGAGTTCGCCTGTTGCTTCAGGCTTTTTATCAAAGCATACCGCTTGCAGCTTGGGAGAAAAAGGTTATCATTTTATCATAAGCCAAATTGGCCTTCAGTTGGTGTCATTGTTTGGAAGCAGCATCGGACTTGGCATGCATTCACCGTGCCCATTGCCAACCCACTTGTTATGCTTTGCCAAAGGGGATTTTTTTTTTGGGGGATAACAATGAAGCGACCTTTGGGGCGCAGCGACCTTCGGGGCGCTTTGAAATAATATTATTACTTATCAAATTAATACTGTTATTAGCGCAATTGGCTGCTTGCAGCGGACATGGCCTCAAGCCAAGGAGAGCCTACTTCATGTAGCGATGTCAACTTTGAAACAAGCCAGACAGTTGGCATTGGTTTCACTGGTCTCGCAATAATTTTTTCAGACATTGACATGCTTCGGACAAAATCATCGGTTTCAATTTCAGCAGTGCAGAAATTCATGATCGAAAAAAAAACCCACGAGGCTTCCAAACTTGGTTGTCGCCGGAATTGCGCAATGGCTGACTCTGATGTCGAGCTGCCTCCAGACGTTTCCTCAACTGGAAATGAGTCTGTAGAGGATGAAGTTGAATTACCCCCAGATGTGGAGGATGATGATGTGGTTCCAGAGGCTACTTCGGCGCAACAGCATTGCAGCTGCAAGCTGAAATGCTTCAGCAAGTTTGCCCAGGACAGTGTGGAGCTTCACAGGAATTCGCAGCTGGCTGACCCCAACCGTATGGCCAGTTCTTTTCACAAGATCAAAGTCATGGTTGATCAACGTGCAAGCACAGATGCAAAGATTGCTTGGGCCATTGGTGAGACGAAGGTTTGCCGTCCCTGGTGGGAACACTACCACGCCATTGGCCACAAGCAGGTGGATGATTTGGTCAAACTGAGCAAAGCTGGTCATAGTCAGCTTCCGGAGCGTGGTGCCCGGATGCCGCGAGAGAAACTCAAGGCTGATGCTGTCGATGTTTGGTTCCTTGGGATATACCAGGGGTCCTCTGAGCCTTCACCACTGGAAGATTCTGGGCCAAGTTCGGGCGACAGATTGGAAGAGCTTGGTGACGATTCTTTGCAGCATGAAGTGGTGAACGGCAGCAGCCATCCCCTTTATGCCTTGAGTGTCCAGGTGGGAGAAGGTGTCAACAAGCAACATCTGGTTCCAAAGCGCTTCTTGAATGAAGCCAGCTTGGGCTCATTGTGGGCTCTCTACAAACATGATGAGAAAATTACAGAGAAGGTGTCACGCGACACGTTTACCAAGGCCTTCAACAAACACTGGAAGTCAGTCCTTTGCTTCAAACATGACGGGCAAGGCACTCGCTGCAGCATATGTGCCACGATGGATGAAGAGCGACGGCGTGCCGTTTCCAAGGAGGAGCGGCAGGAAGTAGAGCTTCGAAAGCGAAGACACTATGAAAGGCATGATGCTGATCGCAGCATGAATGTGAGGAGCAATAAAATGTCAACGGACCCCTCCACCTTTCAGCTGGCCAATGCTTCCACACGCGTGGTGAAGCTGATGGTCGACGGGATGGATCAAGCAAAATTCAGGACTCCACGAAACCTGGCTGCTTCTAGTTCTTTCTCCCAAGCCTATCGACCAACTCTGCACCTAACAGGTGTGTTGATCTTTGGTCTGATGGAAGTGTACTTCCTGTTGAACCCGGACACGAAGAAGGATGCGAACATGAATTGCTCCTGCATCTCCATCGCTTTGGATCGCTGCCGAGCCCTACTGGAGAGCCTTGGGCCCAGTTACAGTTTGCCCAGGCATGCCATTTTGGCTGCGGACAACACGCCTAGAGAGGCGAAGAACCAGTTCTTCGGCACCTTCGCAGGAAGCCTGGTGCAGCGGAAGCATTTCGATAGCATAGAAGTGCAGTTCATGATGTGTGGACATACGAAGAATGAGTTGGATCAAAGGTTTTCGACTATTGCCACTGTTCTTTCCAAGGCTCCGGTGTTGGAGACCCCTGAGCATTTTGCGGAATGCATCAGAAAGAATGTGCAACCGCTTCATGGGAAAGAGCTGCATGTCATGGTGCTAGATTCCACTTGGGATTTCCAGGCCATGTTCGAGAAGTACAACTGTCAGATCAGCGGACTCACATCCACCCATCTCCAGCCAAATGCCAACCACTTGTGGCGCTTCGAACGCCGCGAATCTCTTGAGAGCAGCTTGGTGGTGGAGGTGAACAATGTGAACTGGGCAGATCTTCCACAGCACGATGACGATGTGATCATTTCAGTGAAGCAGTGGTTGAGTTTTTGACTTAGAAAGTCTGTTTCTGTCACAAGTTTTGATTGCAGGCTGGTACTGGTAGTTAGATCGGCAGCAGCAGTTGGTTCCTCTATCTTTAAAGATCGGAAAACATGCTTTCGTTTCACCAGTTTTAATTTTAAATTTTGTTCCAGCGAGAAGAGATTTAATTTTCTTACTACCTTTAGAATAGGGGTGCCATAACTGAATGCCCCAAGCCCTGCGTTTTTAGCGAAAAAAAAATGGCTTGGGGCATTCCTATTTTGAGACTTTCCCCTTTAGATTCTCTGGAAAACCATCGCTGTGACTGGAACAAGATCGTGAGTCGCGCCATTGCTGAGGTACATGAGCAGCTCCAGCTTGTCTCAGAAACCGCAGCTAATGTTGCCGCACTGTTTGGCTACCAAGATTGACTTTGCTACTTCTTTGCAGCCTGCTGATCGGAGATGGTTATCGGAGGATATGCTGAAAGAGTTTCGCAAGACCGCCCAGATGGTTGGACGAGAACCCTGGAGATTGTTCGAGGCGGAGCAATGGCTGGAAACGTGGTGCACTGAGAATGAGACTAAGGTGGTCAAGATGCCACCCAAGCTTGAGATGGTTTTGGAGTTTGGGACCGGTTTTGAATTAGCTGCTTTGCCGGATTTCTCCGACCTCTTCATTCCGGATGACCCAATGCCAAGGGTAGTGAAGGTGGGATCCAGAAAGGTTCTGAAGCGGCCTGCTGCTCGTCAGGCTTCTGGCAGTGTCATGAAAAGGCCTGCCGCTGGCATGAGACGCCCGGCTGCTGCTGGCCATAATCACGATGGCGGTGAGCCTTCAGAGCAACCTGGTGATGATAATGATGATGATGGCGATGATGTTTCAGAGCAACCTGCCATGAGACGCCCTGCTGCCGCTGACCATGATGATCTTGATCGTGGTGAGCCTTCAGCGAACGAAGCTGGTGAAGTGGCCAATCCTCCAGCAACTTGGCCGCTTTTTCTGGGGGGGTGATTTAATTTAGCTTGCTCCCAAGAAAATTTTATCTTAGCCTGATCTTGACTGATAACTGTCAAACTGTCAGTCTGACTTTAACTTTTCCACCCAAGAGTCTTAACTGGGATAGATTGTATTGGAATATGGAAATTGGTTTTCATCCTCAAGGGTTTTAGGTAAGTGTGAGTGGGTTTGTCTTTGCAAGACAAGGGTTGTGATTAGTTTGGAAGGGAATCTGTTCACCGCCCATGCCAGGTACCTGCCGAAGAAGCAGCAGATGTGGCGTACATCTATGGTTGCACCAAATGCCGCTATGCGCAGCGAGGTTGCAAGCAGTGTCGTGACAAGGCAACTCGAAAGTACCGCGGGTATCACTTCGATGACGATGGCAATGTGAGACGTCGTTCCGTAGATGTCTCGTAGCAGTCGTAGCATTTTGCTGCGTGTCATTTAAAGCGCCTATTTTTGGCGATGGTTTTCCAAGTTCATCTCGATGTCAAAAGAACACTGATTTCAAGACGGCTGCCCATTCTAGAAATAAATCTATTATAGTCATTGTACTCACTAGTCGTGATACTTGTTACTTTTTTCCCAGAGATGAAGAAGTGTAGCAGTGTAGCTCCTTGCTACACAAGGTTACCTTTTGCTTTGGCTCAGACTGGCCCAGCAAGCGTAAAAACGCCCCGTGCTTTGAGAGTTGCAAAGCACCTGATGGATTCACAATGTTTTTTCCAATCGAACATTGCATCAATGAATTGAATGTAGGGCTGAACACCAATCGATTTGTCACCATTTTGTTTGGCCCAGAAAGTTTGTTTTGGTGTGGCCTGTTGCGCTTTTGACCGTCATGGCGCAGAGCAAAGCTTTGATGAAGCGGCCTTCTTCAAAGGCCATGGGATCCAAGACGGTGATGAAAACCATGAAGGGCAAGGCTTCAGGGACTTTGGCCAAGATGACGAAACATGACATGAAGAAGCCTGCTTTTTCCTCGTCCTATGGCAATGTGAAGGTGCCCACTGCCAATGACCCAGCGCTCAATGAAATTCGCACAGTGGACAACCAGGGCTACGACTACAAGCAAGTGGAGGCTTCTTTGGCTTACGAGTATAATGATTCCAAAGCCTACACAGAGTCCTTCAAGACCATGGGCCCCAAAGGGAAGTGACCAGGACGATTTTAACAACGTTTTTTTCCCATTGATTTTTTTAATGCTGCAAAAAAAACACATTGCACGTGAGAAGTTTTTTTGGGGCATAAAAGAGCCATGAGGTACAAGAAGTGCCGCATGGAGCCGTGGAAAGTTTACCTGGCTGACCAGCTTAAGGCCCATGGCTGGAAGAAAACCAAGCATGGATGGAGATGGTCCTGGCAGTGGATGTCAGCTGATTTTAAGAGGGACCCAGAGTTGGCTAAGCATGCCGACGTCCTTTCTTGCTAGCGAGTTTCTTGAGAAACAAGGCCGTTTTTTTGAACCGCTAGTCTCTGAAATGTGAGACCCGAGGCGACACTGTGGAGAAAAAAAATTGGAGTCCAGGACTGTTTTTTTATTGTGACCGTTTTTTTTTGCCAGAAGAAAGAAACCACAGCAGAGAACTGCGAAGTGATCATCTGGGAACTTTGCTGCGTCAAAATTTTCCAAGAACGTAACCTTAGCACAGTAAGGCTGCAGAATTTGAAATTGGAGAACTGCCTGCACCACAGTGGTTTGAAAGGAAGGAACTAAAAGTTTATTTTTTTCACGTCTGGCAGAAAAATCTTTCAGAGAGGCAGCTTCAACACAGTAAACCTTGAACTTGAAACCTTTTTTTCTTGTGAAACTCTCCCACGATAATGGTAAGGAAACTGAAACATTTGATTTTACTATTTTTTTCAAAACAGGCAACCTCAACATAGTGAGCTGCAAGTTTTTTTTTCGGACAGGCAACCTTCAGCACAGTAAGCTGCAGAACTTGCTTTGAAGAAAATGTTTGCCTTACAGTGGGCAAGACAGGAAATGATGTCTTTATTTTTTCTACAAAAAAAATGAACCAAAAAAAATAAGGTAGCAAACAAGCAAACCAAAACCCTAAACCCTAAACCCTAAACTATATGGCACAAAATTGGCGAGAGTTTTGTTCCCCAAACACACCCTGCAGTTTCCCCCCGGATATTTTCAAACTTCAACTTCGACATTTCAAAATTTCTGGCTGAAATCGGGGAAATTCCCGGAAATCCGGTTTTGAATTTGGAACATCTATTTGCAGGCCCTGCCCGTGGAACACTGAGCTAAATCCAAGCAAAACAGGTCAGCTTGTCATTTTGCTTCTCTTTCTTGGTGAGTTAAACTCGGGAGATAAACTGGGAAACCTGAATTTACACCTGCCACCCGTGGAAGGCAGTGGGATCTCTGCTCTATATTTTCTTCATCAGATTTCACGGGGAGAGACCCTGGCCCTGTACCTTTTTTTGTTTTTGGGGAAACTATATTTTTTGCTTAGGCAGCAGGCAGCAGCCTTTATTGGCGCTTACTTCCTCTAATATTTTTTTAGGCAGCAGCCTTTATTGGCGCTTACTTCCTCTAATATTTTTTTAGGCAGCAGCCTTGAGCGCTCACTTCCTATTTTATTTTTTTGGACAGCAGCCTTGATTGGCGCTTACTTCCTCTAATATTTTTTTTTGTGAGACAGCAGACCGTTACTTATCTCCAACATATCCTTCTATGTTTCTATTTGGTTTAAGGGGCATGGAGGACCACTGCGGACTCTTCATAATAATTATCTTACAAGGCCATCAAAAAATACTGTCACTTATTATCATCTTGAGCTACTATGTTTAAGGGCTGTCAAGAACCACGCATCCCTTAAAATCAAGCAGCCCCACGGAATACCAGAGCAGCATTATGTTTCACTTGTTTCTGTGTGGCTCCAAGTTCCGGGAAGTTAATTTCAAACAGTTTTTCCTTGAGCAGGTCCAGGAACCTTGATTTCATATTTGTCAGACTACAAAGAACAGACCAGCAACCATCTTTGAGATTCTTTAAATCTCATCTTAGACAAGCGCCTTGCCATGCCACAGTCTTTGCGCTCACGTAAGGCAGCTGGCAGGAAAACTTTGGAGATATTGAGAGCGAGAGCTGAGGCAGGTTTCAAAGCCACCCAGGTGAAAGCTGAGCCGGTCTCTCCACTGTCAGACGGCGCCCATGGTTCGTCTCCAGTCGCTGCCCCAGTTGGAGTGGCTCAACCAAACCTGCCTTCAGATGGAAGTCCTGTTAGTTCGCCTTGCATGGATGGAACAGCGCTTTCAGACTTGAAAGATGATAGCATGCCAGATTCAATGCAGTCAGCGCCTGAGAATGGATCAGTGCAGTTCAAGGAGGACAAGACCGGCGAACAGACCCAAGGTCTCATTGCTGGAGAATCAACAGAAGAAGCCATCAAAGTTCCGAGGGTGGTGCCTCCTCGTCCAGAGTTCACTTCACATGGCATGTCTGCCAGCAGTTCTCCAGGCATGGCCCCGAATGATGCAGCAATCCCTGCTGAAGGGCAGTCTGACCCTGCGCCGAAAAAGAAGAGGGGGCGTCGTGCTGGCAGAAATGTGGAGTTCTACAATGCTGCCTATGTGCTGAAGAAAGTTTTTCGCTTCTGACAGACGTGAAGCTTAGAGATCAAAACAAGTCCGGTGCCAGCCGCCTCAGATGTCTTTTGAAATTATTTTGCATGCCATGAGTTTGTCAGACATGTCAAAGAGTCAAAACTGCAATTCTGAGACATGCTCATGTCCTCTGATTTGTAACATCAACAAACCGCCGTTTCTTTTTTGGCTCTTGAATAATATGTTTTGTCAAGGTAACGCGACCTCAGGGGCGCAGCGACCTTTTGGGGCGCTTTTTTTTTTCAAGTGGGATTTCGTTCCCAAACTTCGTCTGATCGCTGCTCATGTCGGAGCCAGATCAGGTGGTGGTTGTGGAAGATGAGGCCATGCCAGAAGCCACTTTTGCTTCTACCTGGCTGGACAAGTTCCGAGCTCGGATGGCAGAGTACCCAGCAGGGCCTGCAGCTTTGTTGAAGAAAGAGCTGAATACCGATGCAGAAGTTTGGGATTTCATGACGTGGCTGTGGACTGAATTTCCCGAGAGGCCTGATGTCATGTATCAGCACTCCGGAGAAATCCACGGCACCAGTGAAGACATGTTGGCACAAACGCCGCCCACCGCTTTCCACTTGTGTGCCTTTGCTTGGGATGACCGGTGCAGCATGAAGCCGCCCCCTGGCAGAGATCATTGCCTCACCATGGTGGAGCATTACCTCAAGCATGGCTTCATCACCTCAGGGGACGCCATCCTCGCCCAGCACAAGTTGATTCAACCTGACCTCAAGATGATTGCGCCATGGCAGAAGCCAAGCACTGGTGAATGCCTGCTTCCTTTCTCAGTGCCTTTTGTGAAAGGCAGGGCAAGGATCACGTCTCTCTTTGCCCTCCTCTATGTGATGTTCGATGGCGGGGTCACCAAGATTGCGGATGAGCACAAGATTTTGTGGGAATCCTGCTGTGTCATCTGGACCCACCATCTCTTGCAGCACACAAAGGAAGAGGAGGTACTGACCAATCTCAGAATCAGCTTGAAAGGCAGTTTGCGAAAGGCCTGCAATGTGATCCAAATCGCGCAGATGATTCGCAAATTGTTGAGGGATGGAGGCAGTGACTATGGCTCCTTCGCCAGGAAGTGGAATACTCAGACGGTTGCAGCTCATCAGATCAAGGGTCGGAAGGCAACTTCGTTGAAGCTTCTGTTCGAGTCCGCCCCGCAGGAGATGTTTTCAAAAGTGGTGTCATTACACTTTTAAGGTGAATGATACGTTACAAGTTGCTTCCTTTTGGTTCACAGGATGAAAAATCTTGAGTAATTTCCTTTCAAGTAATTTTTCACCATCATCTGGCAATTTTCCACACTCTGGCCAACATGAAAAGGCCTCAGCAACTCATGAGTCGCATGAAGTTTCCTTGAAGGAAATTTATGATATGGAATTTTAGCATCATCATCCATTTTCATACAGTATTTCTCTGTCCTTGCTTTTCTTCGACCGCCAGGACGTTCTGGATGACATCTTGACACATGTGGGCATCATGGGCTGGTCCGAGTCTTGCTGGACTGAGGAAAACTTAGCCAGCAAGCGCCTTTTTCCTGGTCATGGTTTCCACTCCCGGTCGCGCAAGTGGGCTCCACGGCTCAAGGTGACCGACGACAGCCTTCGGCTGATGGTCAAGAAGCTTCAGCACACTGTGGAAAATTGGCGTCCTGAACTTGGCAAGAGACCTATCTATGATGTCAATTTCGTAGAAGGTGTGGCTGAAAAAGCTGCCGCCCTTTGCGGAATGGCCAGGGAGTTTTGCAAAGAGCACCCTGTGGCCTATGATCAGGTTGAAATCAAAGTTCTCAAGCCTTGGGCTGAAGGAGACGAGCGCATCGACATGGAGGTGGATGCAGCTCTTTTGGAGAAGCAAGAAACTTTTGAGGTTGGACTGCACATGCCGTGCTTCAAGTCTATGTTGGATGATGCCATCTTCAAGGCACCAGTGACTTCAGACCAAGAGAAAGATTTGCGTGACGCCTTGAAAAGGGATGAGTTTGACAACTTGATGAAGAAGTTGGAATACGACCAAAAGGTATTCGAGATCTGGCAGTCCAAGTGCGCTGGTGTGACCGTCTCTAGAAACCATGCAAGGCAAGAGCATGTGGTGAAACAACACAGAAAGGTCCAGGAAGGTGTCAACAACTACTTGGATGGTTGCGTGCGGCTGCTGACGTGGGAAGGAGTGCGATCAGCCGACGCTCTGATTCCCCAGATCTTGCAGTACCGCCAGGACTGCATCAAGAAGCTCAAAGTCAAGGTGACGGCGCACGAAGTTCCAACCGTCACGTTGTCGAATTGGACGGCCCCCTGCCTGATGCCGAACAACAGGCAGACAGAGCATGCCTCCATCTTGAGTTGGGCCATGCATGACAATTCCAACTCATGTGGTCTCATTTTCTCACCGATCTTTTCCCATCAAAAGGGCAAGACATTCCTGGAGGAGAACACAGCACTCAAGATCTTGAGCGGAGGAGGGCACAACCTGGATCACCAATTCAGTCTTCTGTTTCAAGAACGCTGTGACCAAAGAGATGGTCGTCCTCTCCTTTACCCTGCCAGGTTCGCTTTCCCTGGCCACATCGTGGACTTGAACAAGGGAGCTCCCTTCTTCCAATCTGAGCTGAGAAAGACTGGCAGAACAGAGGCATGCAAACAGCTTGCCGCCCGAGATTTGAAAGAGATCGAAGATGTGGCTGATGATTCACTGCCCTCCCAGACCGGCACTGGCTATGTCAACGGAGCGTCCAAATACTGTCAGATTGGGCTTCCTGCCGCAGAAGAGATTTTGAAGAAGCTTTTCGAAGGTGCTGCTTTGGACAACTTTCAGGCAGTTTTGCTGCTTGACCTGAACCCTCGTGTCGGAGACTTTGCCCAAGCCTTTTGCAGGTTGCGCAGCCACCTTGGTTCTCCCACTTCGTTGTTTTACCTTGCAGTGGGTGACAAAGGAAAAGATCTAGATTGGATGCGCCTGAGCTTGGCAGAAGAGTTGGTTGAGAAGGCCAAAGCTGGCCAAATTCTCATTCCAGGCATGCAGCCTTTCCAGAAGGAATTGAATCCTGACGTTTTGGATGCTTTGCCAACGTTGCCAATCATGAACTTGTTGGTGACCAGCGGCGAGGCAGAGTACCGCAAGCTTCAGGTGCCGCACGCTCTGGTCAAGAAATGGCGTGCAGACGAAGAATTTGGTGATGAATTTGCGAAATGGTTGGATGGATTCCTTGAGACCTACGCGGTCACCCCAGAAGATGCTGGACCAGCACCTACCACCAACTCTCCTTCAAAAACTTTGCCAGGAGGGGTCGCAGATGCTGTTGAGCCTTCACCCAAAAAGTTGAAAGTGGAGGAAGTGAATTCCTGCCATGTGGTGGAGAAAGACTCGATCCAAGAAGCCTTGCTGTTCGACACAAAGCTGGCTGGCAAAGATTCGTTGAATTTCCAGATCCGAGCAGGGAGAAAGGTCTATTTGGTGAATCTGACCACTGCAGAATTGGTCTTGAAGAGTGGTGTCTCCTTGGTCGGCTTTGGCCGTGGAGCTTTCAAGCTTTACAAAGCTGCGGAAGAGTTCAACGAGAAGGCCATTCCCTACAACTTGGAGGGCGGTGGTGACAACCTGGTGTGCTTGAATGGGCAGCTCATGACCATTTCGACCTGTGTGCACCAGCAACGTGCCAAGAATCCAGAAGCTCAGATTTCTTACCACACCACCGCCAGCGTTCCTGAGCAAGATGGCAAGTATACCTTCAAGCTGACGCACCGGGTGGCTTTCATGCCTGCTGGCAAGAAAGAGAAGTCTTCAGAGATGGAGGATGAGAAGGAATCTGGCCTAATGGTGTCGAACATCGGAGCAAAGGAGCTGCCCAGCACCTTTGCTGGCCTTCATTGCTGCCAAATTGTTTGGCATGTGCGCTGGACGGTTCGCGGCCTGCAGCCAGTGAAGCCGATGCTGCACCTCACGAAGCGCCTGACCCTTCCGGCTGGCCAAGCTTGCAAACTCAATGCCTGAATGGCCTTCTGACTGAGTGCTTTTTTTCCAAAGATGTTCACAATTCTGAGACCATCTGGTGATGAATTCTTTCAGTTGCTTCGAACATTTTTTAGAACAACTTTCACATTTCAGTTGGTCCTGCTGCTGAATCTGAAACGGTCTTCAGAATTTTTTTGGGCCACGGCCAGCACAGATTGACACGTCTCAATCCAATCTGCTGGAGTTGAGAGCTGCGCAGGAGAAGCAATAAATTTTACCTGATGCATATTGAGACATGCTGCCTTTGGCCATGTTTGCTTGCAGCGCGATGATTGGTAGTCAGATGTCGTCAGCTATATTTTGAAGCAAATCTTGGAAGTTTGAAACCGTTCGTTGATCTTTCTCGTTTCAACCGCAGCCATTCGAAAAAACATGAAATAATTAATACAAGAATTAAATGTTCCAGAATTTGTTTCAGATGCTTCCAGACCCCAGAGCATTTGAACATGTCTGCTGATGAAAGAATTATTTTTTCATTGAGCATTGCAGGCAGTTCAGCAAAAGAGAAAACAAGGATCATAGTGCATTTTTTCAATCATGTATTTTCGGATCTTCCCAGAGATGCCTCCTGGATTCTATGGCTGGTCTGACGCCTTCGGAAGCTGAGTCTGAGCTTAGAGTAGAGCAGAGCTATCTTTTGTACCACCAAATTAAAATCTTAAAATAAAGCCTAACATATGTTGAATCTCATTCAAGGTCCTCTATTATATATATATGTATATCTTGCCCCAAGCAAAGAAATCTAATTATAATAATAGCGCACATGATGCGCTTAGCGCTATTGAGCGCTAGCATCACAACTTCCATGATGCTGCAGTCTAATCTTAAATTAACATACATTTTGCGGGGGCAAAGGGCAATATTTTGTGTTTTCCCGATGGCTCCGACCTATGTCAGGCATGACAAGCTGTCATCATCATAGTTTCGCCTGTTTCCCAATATGTTTCACCTTTCGCGATGCTGAGCTTCGGTTTCACTGAAGATGGAATGCTGTCAGTTCATTTTTTCTCCAAATTTTGCCATATCAGGCAACAAGCAGCAGGCATGTTCAAACATAAACATGCCCACGAGACTATAATTTCATTGAAGTTGTAGAAGGGAAACCCTGAGGTGGTGTAAAATCTGGCTTCCTATCTGTGTGTATGAAAATAACGGTCTAATCCCCATCACAGATTTTAAAAGCGCCACCACACAAGAATTTCAGTTATATAAATGTTTCGACATGTGGGTTGCATTAAAATATTATGCTAGACAATATATATCCAAATGAACAACATACACATGAATACATGTTAGATATTTTTTGTGCATCTGGCATATGATCATTTAATTGAGGCTTAGTGTCAAAAACATCCCTTATAGACGCGAAACGCGACAGGGAACGATTTTGCCCAGAAGTAAACACACCCAAAATAGGATACCAATCATCCAAGGTAATAATGTTAGACAGTGATGCACTTACAATTTCTCAGTGATCTGGAAAATGGTCTACTCGGGCATCGAGCTTTATCTTTTCAACTGTTGAGTCTGTTTTTTTTGAAACCCAAGAAATTTCCATTGATTTAAGAGATCAACATACAAGCAATCTTCAAATACAGTTTCACTCTAAGCGCCATTTCAAGATCAATTTTGAATCAAATGCCCTTCTGAGCTCTGAAGTTGAATTTTTTGTTTTTAATGAAGCCCAACAGGTGATGTTCTCTGTCGGGGTTCGGTTCAAGTATGAGAAACGATTCAATCTTGCATCATCAAAGTAAAAACTCCATTGGTCAGTTTCCACGATTTAAACAGTGATAAAATGATAGATTTCAAAAAATCAATACAAAAAAACCCAGGCAGGCTTGGGGTGGACCTTTGGTTTGGGGTCTTGTGTTTTCAATGTCAGTCAAGCTCGTCCAACTTCAAGTCAGCAGGTTTTGGCAGCACAGCTGTTTGGAGCTGGTTTCCCAACACCTACTTTCAAAAAGTTAACACCTACTTTACAGCAAAATTTCCTTTTCTCCAGCCAGTCAGTAGCATTTGGTTCTGTTGCAGGTACGGTGGTATCTGCTGAGTCAGTAGTCACCTGCTTTGAATGCATAGTAGCGTCAGGCGGTGGAACTGTTGACGCTTGAGCGTGCTTGTCATGGCTGGTCACAGCATCCCCAGCTTTCGATTGTTGGTCAATCGGCGGTCGACCGGTGGGGTTAGAGGCTTGGCACATGTCCGCATAGCTTGCTTGTATCTGCAGGTACAAGCGTTCACTATCATTTAGGTCCGTGGTCGTGGATTGCGCTGGCTGCGCTTCTCTGGTATCTGGGTCTCGCGCAGGTTGCCTGTCGGTCTCCACGGTGGGGCGCTTTTACCATCTCACTGTTTTAGGAGCTGGAGAGGCCTGTGTCTTACCAGGCGGCTTGGCCTGTGATTTGGGCAACCGCTTCTGGAGTCGTGGCATTATACTGTCACGAAATTCAGGCGGAAAAGGTTCATTGGTCTCTGCAAGCCATTCAATGGTTTCTTCATGCAGCCATAGCGAAGTCCTGTGCAGACAGACCGATGGTTTTGACTCCCTTTTCTTCCAGCGCCCAGAAGAGCGGTGGGGAAGCAGGTCATGTGAAAGCACAATCAACGGCAGCAAAAACTCAAACTTCTTGTTGTCAGAGTAGACGGCGGCTCCATTGGGGTGCACTTTCAAATAGGTGTCATTATACTTGAATGGACATACAACCTTCAAGGTGCAACCATTGCGATCACAAATGGACATTCGTATATCCAGGTATGCTTTGGAAACATCGTATGCATAGTCAGTGTCAATCCACGTAACGTCAAGGAATTCCGGCCTGCCTTTACGCCTATAGTTGACAATTTGCCAAAATTCTTCATAGAACTCAGTCTCCAGTGCATCACCCAGTGTTGAAAATATGGTCCACGGGACTTCCTCAATATGTAACTACTCATATCGTGCCCGACGGTCTCCAATTGCTATTGTGCCAGACACCATTAAGAATCTGATTTGGTCAGCATGTGGCATTCGTAAATCTAGGCCAGCGGTGATGTTCGTTTCCTTCTGGTCCACGACATACATATCCCCTGTTTGATTCCATGGGGCATTTTGACCACCAGCCACGGGTCTCCCGTGTTGGTTCAGTTTGTTCACAAGGCTGTCGGTACGGCTGCGAGGCTAGCAGTCACTGGCGGGTGCACAGCAGTATTGCTAGTGGTAGCAAGCAAAATCACCGCAGATTGGTATGGCAAAAACCTAGACAGAAGGCGACCGCAACACGAGTTTATCACTGGCTTTGCAGCAACCCGTGGAAGTGGTCACCAAGCAGTGGGTATCCCACGTTGGTTTGAGCCAAAACTGCAGCACCATTTCTTCGACCTCTTGGCTTGTGACAACTGACCTGATCAAATAAAGTAGCGATTTTGATTTGATCAATAAAATTAAAACGTCTTCACATGGGAGGGTGATCAGAAGAGAATAACAACGCCCCGGGGAGAGTAGCCCATGAACAGAGGAGTGAGACCAGAAGGGCGTGACAGCTGACATGGGTCATATGGTCATATGGCAATAAAAGAAGGGAGAGTGGGCACGTGAGGGGTGACAGCCAATACAACGCATGTAAGGGGAGTGTGGGCTCGGGGAGGGAAGTGTTCTTTGAGGTATGGGGTACGTAGAGGAGCCAACGAGGAACCAAACATAATGTGGAGATGCGATGAAGGATTGACTGGAGGCAGGGGTGTTTCCGGATTACCTCGACTGTTAAGCAAAAATCATTTTGGAAAGGGAGGGGTCGTTAGTGGGGTCAGGCGTACTGAAATAGCAGGTTCTCCCCGTCTCTGACACAACAATGGTACTACGATGTAACATGGGGAAGGTAGGCAGGCCACAGATAGGACTGGACGTGACTCGTGTGTGGGACCGGACGGTCTCAATTAAACATGCGTTAAGTTATCGATGGTTGACTTAAGCAATAGGGTACAGGACGTTTGAACACCAGCCCCCCTAGTTCCGATCGGTTATTTTACTTGATAAAAACCAATATTAACCGAAACCTGTTCAGCAAGACAGTCGGCTCAGGGCAACAGGCATGATGTTGGTCATTGACAATCCTCAACTATTGCCCAAGGTTTCCTTGGTGATAGTGGCGAAGAGGTGAAACACATCTAGTTAATCAATAATCAAGCAACATGTTTCACGTGCAAAACTTGGCAGAGGAAAAACCAAAAAAAACACACTGACCGGTTATGTACGTGGGAAGGCCAGCCATTCGAGGGCTTCTTCGCAGAGGAGAAACTTACCACAGAGTGTCGATCGACAAAAGCATGACAACCAGATACCTTCTCCGGGAAGTGAGCTAACGGTCAGCTTTGATTGGACCGATCTCGTCGTGGTCGGGAGACAACCCTGGTAGTGCAGTCTGCAAAAATTCGAAAACTATCACCAACAGACCAGCTATTGCCCAAGGTCTCCTTGGTGATAGCGGTCGTGTCCTGGCAGAAATTAATCAGTCAGGTGGGCTGGGGTCTTCACTAAGATTATTGGTCATGAGAGCAGGATTATCGCACCTAACCGCCAGGTACATACGTCATACTTGGACAGTCAGTGTTAGCGGTGGTGAACACCTTAGCTTGAGACAAACAAATTCTTCACCTTGCCTAATTCAAGAAAATCAGTCCGCCTATATTATCCCAAGTCCATTTGGTGGTGGCGGTTAGTGTGGGGCAGCATCACCATACTCCTCGGCAACAAAGCTCGGCGGGGCTAGGTATTAGGGAATTCCCAGTTACATCGGGGGTTGTAATCAATCTTCTGGAACCCTTGCTGTACTTGAGAGGGGCCCTCAAATCGTGGTCTGGCTTCAAGGGTATCCCATACAGCGGACCATGTTGATCGATCCAAGGCGGAAAGACCAACTATTGCCCAAGGTCTCCTTGGTGATAGTGGCCACTATGAAGGCAATTCGCATGACCGCTTGGGTAGCTGAGGGCGATCACGT